ACGATGGATTGGATCCTTCAGAATATATTAACAAAACATTATCCTTATATAATTGTGCATTAGTAATGTCTTTGTAAACCTTACTTCCTGAACAAACTCTAGACCAAGTGAAATTCTCATAAATTTAGCTTTCACGATGATTCAATTTTTAAGATTGACCTTAAAAAGATTAATTATAAAATATCTTTCATTATATCACTTACCACTAATCAAACTCAAAATGATAAACAAAATTATCAGTGTCAGCCCAAAAAATATAAAACAAAGTCATCAAGACCAACGACGACTGGTCCTCATAATGGATCTTTACTAAATACTAGGCATCCTTTGTTTGAAATTGCTTGTAATAATCAAATAATAAACCAAAAATTTAATCATATAATTAATCGTTTGATTCCCTTGGGACCTTCTCCTTCAAGCCATCAACCCAGAGCGAGTCACCGAGTCAAATATATTCGCCTGAAGCCGTTTCTTTTTTCGTCTCTAAAAAAAGTAGCTTTCCAGCAGCATAGCAACGTCTTCTTTCCTTCCCTTCCCTTCGTCGCCAATTTCACACGATACTCTCACAGACTATTATATAGTCAGAGAAGGAAAGGTCCACATTTCTCAGAAACTCCCACCCGCTACCGCCATTTCCCCCCCGCCGCCGCCGCCGCCCCAAAACCTTCACCAATTGCCAAATTCTTCAACTTTATGTCGCCGTGAGAAATGGGGAACTTGTGCACTTGCTTCGCCCCCAAGCCGGCGGTGAAAAGGGGACGATCCGTTAAGCGTCTCCCGGCCAATTCTTCATCCCAGACCGCTTCCAACCGGTGGACGAGGGTCCGATCCGCTAGAAAAGACAGCAATGATTCCTTAATTCAGGAGCAGGCTCTGGCGGCAGCTCTGATGTTCAGGCAGCAGAACGGTGCCGGGGCGGCGACGACGGCGCCGTTTGACCGTTCTGTTTCGCACAGGTACCCGAATGGTAATGCCGGGTCGAAGAAGAACCCGTTGCCCCGAAGCGCCAGCTCGAGAGCTCGGTCACTTGCGGACCCTTTGTTGCAGCCTCACCAATTGGTTAACCAGGTAATTTAATTTACTTTCTTTGTGGGAGGAATTTCTGTGTTCGGAGGAAGGTGGCAGAAGCCATCGGCAGTTGTCGCTTAAGGCTGTTGTTTTGTCGCCTTTCGCTTCGTTGACCATGTTATTGCTCAGAGTTCGGTGTGCTGGACCACGGTTGGATGTGGGTTTTATTATGGAGCTCTGTATGATGTGTTTAATCGGGGGATGCGTATTGAATTCCATCCTGCCCTGTTTCTTCGGTTTTGTGGGGTTCAGCTGAACTTGCTATTGAATGTGAAAGAACTTGGGACTAGAATTGATGAATTAAATGAACTGGAGGAAGTTTTGTTGTTCATTGCCCTCTGCTAAGTAGTTAATGGATGAACATGGCTACTCTGGTCATCTGTATTGTTGTCAATTACTGATAAACTGATGATTGAACTTGTTTTTGGGGTGAGATGCATAAGTTCTAAGGGCATAGTACAGATCAAGATCTCATAAAAGTTTGCTCCTTTTTTTCACCTGTGACAGAATTCAGATAGCTACCATGATTCTGGAAAAAGTTATCGATCCATCATATTTTGTTATATTTCTGTGGCATCAATCAATGTACAACTGCAACATTCTTTAGTACGCCTTGCATTCAACTAGAAAGTTAGATAAGCCTCACAAGTCTTGTGAGGGAAGGGCAACCAAGAAACTCAGTTTACAGCTCAATACCTGATCACCATGACTTTATTTTATTTTGTCCCCGCGGAAACTAATTTTTGTGGCTCATTAAAGTTTCATGGGCAGCTGGTGTTTAGTGCTATAGAGTATGTCAGCATCTTTCAATTTTCATACCTCGCGCACCTGCTGAAATGTTGAAATTTTTTGAACAGGATATTAAGCTTGATGATCTTGAGACAAAACATTTTGTCCTTGTACATGGCGGGGGTTTTGGTGCTTGGTGCTGGTACAAAACCATAGCCCTTCTGGAAGAGAGTGGTTTCACAGTTACAGCTGTAGACTTGACTGGTTCTGGGGTTCATTCTTTTGATACTAATGGCATCGCCAGTCTCTCTCAGTATGTGAAGCCACTTACTGATTTTCTTGAAAAGCTTGCTGATGAGGAGAAGGTTCGTGCTTCTTCTTTCTTTCTTTCTCACTGGTTATGTATCTTCTCCTGCTACTGTCTTCTTATTATGTCTTGAGATGTCAAATATATGGTCTTCATCTGTGTTAAGCCAACTGCTGTTATATATTTTTCTCTCAATTCAAATGAACTGTCTGAGTCAATGTGGTTATCCATTAAAATTGTTTTCCTGGTTTAATATCTTGATATCTTCATTTATTTTACTTGATACATCTTTGACCTGAGTAAGATGATAGCCTAGGTATAATGCTATTCTTTCTGAACTATGCAGGTGATCTTGGTAGGGCACGATTTTGGCGGTGCTTGCATCTCGTATGCAATGGAGTTGTTTCCACACAAACTTTCAAAGGCTATTTTCCTAGCTGCAGCTATGTTAGTTGATGGACAAAGTATGCTTGACATGTTCTCCAAGCAGGTAATCACTGAGTTATACATTGTTGAGTTTAGAATAGGGGGTGATGAACTTGTTTGAACATTTGTAACTTGAACAGAAAGAAAAAGAATAGCAGTGATAGCATGCCATGTTTGAACTTTCAAGAGTACCGTTCTTTGCTATGTTTTATGCAATGCCATCTAGGAAACTCTGCTTCTAGAGGCATCAAGCTATGTCTATGCAAGTTCAAGTTCAGCTATGCTAATTAGGCTTCCGCTACTCTGTGACTAATAAAAGGGAGCTTTTGCAGTCAGGTGGAAATGATCTGATGCAAAAAGCACAGATATTCGTATATGCAAATGGGAACGATCATCCTCCATCTGCCATTGATCTGGATAAGTCGTTGCTGCGGGACTTGTTATTCAACCACAGTCCTGCCAAGGTACATCTAAACCTTCGAAACAAGTGAATTTTAGTTAGTATGTCATTCTTGATTCTGCCCATTATTTCTTTTTTGTAAGTGTGCTATGGTTTTGAGACACTATTGTTTTCACCTACTATTCATCAGGACATTGCATTAGCCTCCGTGTCGATGAGGCTGATCCCGTTTGCTCCAGTCCTGGAGAAACTCTGTCTCTCCGATTCCAAACACGGGACTGTGCGACGGTTCTATATCGAAGCTCCAGAAGACAATGCCATACCTATCACCTTACAACAAACCATGATCAGCTCGAGTCCGCCGGAGAAGGTGTTCCGGTTGAAAGGTGCTGATCATTCACCTTTCTTCTCAAAGCCTCAAGCTTTGCACAAGATATTGGTAGAGATTTCGAAGATGAATAAAGTTTGAAAGAAATTAGAGAAAAGTGGTTTCCATGGGCATCGTTACTCATGTGCATATCATTATGTATAGTTGTTGATGGTGCCCCCATGTTTCTTCTCCCATCCATACGCCTCCCTTTCTATTCTTTTCTTTTTTCCCGTCTCCAGTTTCTTTGGTTGTTCTTCATTTGTTATTGTTCACGGGACTTTGCAGTTACAAAAGGGTTTCCCTTCTTACTATGCCCAAGGGGATGATTTTGTTCATGCAAAGCCCTTATAATAGTTGGTGGGATAAAAGGATTATAGTTTATAGGTAAAGACATGGACATTATTCAAAGTGTATGGGATAGATTACCTGGATATCTTTTTCCCTACCGTCCTACGCAAAGATTATTTCGGTTAAAACCATTATAACCGAATTAGTTGTTGAACATGGACTATATCAGTTGGATATCTCCAATACAACCTTTGCTTGGCGACCTAAGGAAGGAAATTTTAAACGCAAGGTACACAAGATTTTCATATCGAAGCCAATACATATGACTTAGCTTGCATGTTAAGAAAGTCCCTTTACATGCTTAAGTAGACTAGTCTCTAGTGGATAGTGGTTTCCTAAGTTAGCTAGCTCAATCCTATTGAATGCCTTCTCAAACTCCACCTCTGATTACACAAATGTTTATCGCATGGGTACGATGTAGGATAGTAATCTTATTAGTTTATGCGGATAACATCATATTGGCTAGGTCAGATTCTGGATTTGGAAGTAGTTAAGTTTACTTGAAGTGAGATTTCAGGATGGTCTTTGCAAGACCCTTGGGTGCATTGCAATGTTTCCAAGGATCACAAGTATCTAGAAATGATAGTGGGATTTCAATGACTCAAAAGAAATTTTGTGTCAAATTGTTGATTGGCACTAGATATATATAGAAGTAAAGAGTTACAACAAAGTCATAATAATAATGTATTAGCCTCTGACGAACAAAGACTTGGCCTAATGGTAATACCATTGACCTAGAATCTGGAAGTCTCAATTCGAATCTCTTAAATAGTACTTTAATCACAAAAAAGTAAATTTATATCACCTAAAATAAAAAAATGTACTAGCCTCTGTCTTTCTTGCTCTATAAATCCTAACTACTAATAGATTCAAATGTTTGCATCCCTTGTTGGGAAGTATTTGAGCAACTTACAAAATATTGTTCCCAAACAATGCTGATATGTGTAAAAAGCATACAATGGCTAGAGGCGGTAGCTCCAAAAGCCGGTCTCTAGAAGCAATATTCGAGCTTGAGTTTTGGGAAGAGAGATATTCATCATAGATAAGTAATAGATGACGAATGCTGAACAAAGAAGCATGAGAAATATATGAATATAAAATAGAACAAATAATATTATATGTTAGACTACAAATATTTTAATAAATTTTAATTTAATTATCATATAAAAATATGAAGTTACCCATAACGGATTATCAATTGTACTTCAACTTTAAAGGCCAGCCAACCATTCAATCTCTTTGACTTGTTCAAATCTTAATTAGAATGGAGACTTAATTGGCTGGCTATTTGTTGCCAATGCTCAATTAGTGCAAATTGCTTTGTATAAACTAGTAAATCCAAGAAGGCTAGCTTTTTGCCCTTTCCTCATCTTTTCTCCCATTCTTGGGGGAATACTGGAAACCCAACAAAAGGAAAAAAGGTACATGTGCTAACAATTGTTTAAAACAGTCATTTGTTTATATCAATAAGATAAAAACATTTGAAATCTTATGTTCTTTGAAATTAATTTTATGTGTTTTTCACATTTTTTACATAAAAAACTGTGTTCCTATATATTTGATTGCATCTCATAATAATATTTCTTTTTCCTGTGAACACATAAACTTCATTTCTCGTGGCTCTTGTTTTCCAAAAGGAGCTCATAATTTATTGTTGCAAGAAGTTGTGCTTTAATATTTTTGCTTGACGTTGATAAAAATTCGAGAGAGATATCTATATTTTTAGAGAATATAGAATTCAACTTAATTGGCATGCGAAGGGAAAGTATATATGGGAAATATAAAGGATAAGAAAAGAAATATATTGATGTTTTTATAAACAAGCATACATATCCGAAAACAAGATTAACTCGTGAATTGTAACCTAGCAACACACATTAAATTTTGCTTTGGTGGGATCGTAACATTGAAATTCAAGTATATTCTACATCATGATGTAATTTAGAAAAAAATATTTATTATGTTAATCCGGGGTTGATTAGGTTTCAGTTGCTAAGCCACATATAAGAAAGCTACTAGGCTTGAACTTGATTATTGATTACACAAGAGATTAAGCTAATTATGCCAAGCATGCAGTTTGCATATATAATCACAATATGACTAATTCCATAACACAAATTTGATCAGAAGGAAAAAAAACATGGGCCGTGGAGTGAGCTATGGCGGCGGTCGGAGTTCTTTGGGATACTTGTTTGGTTCCGAGTCCGAGGGAGCTGGCCGGAGCAACAACTCTTCCTCTAGCTCCAATAGTTCCCCACCACCACCACCTACTGCCAAAAAGGAGGAAACTACAAGAAGCCCAATGGCTCGTCGGAAAGAAAGCAGTAGCAGCCCAATCAAGTGGGAGGTCCAAGAAGCACCTTCGGCCCAACCTAGTCCAAAGTCTGAGGAAGCACGAAGCAACAACCCTTCCTCTAGCTCCAACAGTCCCTCACCACCACCACCTACTACCAAAAAGGAGGAAACTGCAAGAAGCCCAGTGGCTCGTCGGAAAGAATTCAGTAGCAGCCCAATCAAGTGGGACGTCGAAGAAGCACCTTCGGCCCAACCCGGTCACCTGAAAAACAACTACTATAGGTCTGAAGGCCAGAATTGTGGTAACTTCATTACGGTACGTAACGATAGTCGATATTACAAAAAGTTGATTAAATAATCTCTTTAATAACCTGATTATTGTTTCTAACGTTTGTTTGGGGTGTTGACTTGTTCGTTATATAGGACCGACCGACGACCAAGGTTCATGCAGCTCCAGGAGGAGGGTCCTCGTTAGGCTACCTATTCGGCGATCCTAACAAAAAATGATGTATTCTCGTCCAAACAAAATGATTTGGTGGATGTGCTTATTGTATTTTGATTGTATACTTTGTAAGTTGATCTAAAATACAAAATTTAATGGCAAAGGATGGAAAAACAATTGCTAATGTCCAACATTGACTTTGCATTCTATCTCATTCATTTATTTTTTTCCATTATATCTATTTTTTATATGGTGATCTACTTAGTTAGGAAATGAATTTGCTCGATCATTGAATCATTTAGTGCACTTTTGTACGACATCTCTCTAAAACGGCTCTAAGGGTTATCATTCATCGCATCAAGTAATGAATTCTAAGGTTATAGATTATATATTTTACCCAATTGTACATCATTCACTCTCGCCCCTATGATGATATTAAGAAATCGACAACTTTGATTAATTGTTTCGTAATGTGTAGAGCTCTTTGCGTCAAGTATCAAAATTGAATGCATGTCATGATTTATCACACACTAACATACTTATTATTGGTTCATTCTAGTTTCAAATGTCCATAGAAAAAAAATGAGATGTTCATATGACACTAAGTATCCAACATTCAAAAGTTAAGAATTTATTATTATTGTATTAAGCACAACACGATTATTCAAAATACTGTATTTCATAAAAATAACTAGATAATACCACATGAAAAATCGACGATCCAAATATTTTACATGAGTCTCCAAATTATATGTAACAAATAAAAGTATGTATTTGTATTCAACTAACACAAATACACAATACTATCATCATCAGCCGCCAGCCGGACGTGCCAAACAAAAAAATTGATACATTAGGAAAAAAAAAATATTCACTTATACGACGCCGTTGGCCGAAATATTCATTTGTAATTTTGACACTTTGTACTTTGTACAAAAGGGCTTAGCGTGGCTGGGGTCAAAGACGTAACTGCCCTCAGTCCTTATTGGTTGCCGCAGCTTCTGCGTCAGCTTACTGATACTAGCTAGGGTTTTTGGTTCATCTCCGCTCTTCGCTTTCCCTCTTCCCCGTTCTCTGCATCGCCCGCACAAACGTCTACGGTGTCGGCATTGCATATATTCCCCTCCTCAGCAATGGCGACCATCGTCCCAACCTCTGAAGAAGATCCTGCACTAGCGGTTGTCCGCTTCACCTCCGACCTTGCCTGGGCCGATGCTGGTCCCGAGGTACATTCACATCTATACAGCTATTTGTATATACATGCGTAATCGCAAACGCTTTTTATTCTAGCTTGTATCCATGGGCGTCCTTCGATTCTTCGTTTGGGAAATTTGATTGGCTGGTGTCTGCACTCCCGAATCCACAATCCAATCGTAATTTCGACTCTCTGATGTTCTTAGTAGTGTACAATGTTGCCTATGCCGGCTGAGATGTTCGGTTGCTGGCTTATGCCGTGAACTATAAATCCTGCTTTGTTTCGTGAATTTCATCCATTCTTAGGTAATGTTAGAAACCTGCAAAAATTTGAAGGGGGAGTAATCCATCGTAACGTCCTGTACAGTTTTTCTATTGGATACTATTAGCTCTATTTTTCAGTGAAGAAAGGGAGTTGCTTGATCAATTATACCTTTCATTATAGGTTGCGGAACCACAAGTTACCAGGCTTTGTATGGAGGCACAGGAATGCATGGTGGTAGGAAGATGGTTGGACTTGGCATCCTTGATGCTAGCTTCAGCTGACTTGTTATTCTCCAATGCCAAGGTGTCAGAGAAAGGTGCAACTTTCTTCTTTTATGTAGTGTTATCAAAATCTACATCAGTTGTAATTCGACTTTGCAATTTTTGGGATGGCACTAAAGGAGGTTAATTAGTAGACGCCTGGTCTAGTGTGTGTGGATGAACTTACTGTTCATGATATGTGAACTTTGTATGCTTGACGATGATATCTGTGAATTCTCCTTGAATTGTTCTGTTGATAGCGTAGTGCAATATTCTGCTAGCAGAGTACTGAAGTTTAAGCCTGCCAATATTCTGCTTGTATTGTTGTGCTGATGAGTTAGTGCAACTACGAATCCTTTGTTAGTTGCTCGGGAGTCGTATCCATGAGGTGGGGAGTTCTGCGGTCACTAGACTTAACTAGCGCTTCTTGTTTTTCCTGCCCTATCATCTCTGACCTCTCTGGGCACCGTTAAAAGTCAAATGGTTGCGTGATTTTGTGGTTTATATTAGGTAGCAGTCATAATAGATGGCGTGCAAGTGTGTTGGTTCAAACTGAAAGGATCTTAGTGATGATTTTGTAAAAAAGAAGCAATCGTTTATATCAGAATACTTAGCAATAGCTGCCCCATATGCTTATTTTAATGACGAAGTGTATGTTTCCGTCGTCTCTGTTCCAGACCTTGAATGCATCTTCACTGTTATTTGCAACCTTGTCACGAAGTCTCAAAACCCGAGTGAAGCTCTTGAGATGGCTAAGCTGATATCAGCAAAGATTGTCCAACAGCCAACTGAGAAGCCTGCACTGCGCTTAAAGATGTAATGTCAAGGTGTCATGTTGATTTGATAGCACATACTTTTTCTTGTTAGTATCTCATGAATGACTCCTTTTCAGCTTGTTCAATTTGTACAATCTTCTGGAGGATCCATATGCACGGTTCTCTGTCTATATGAAGGCCTTGACTTTAGCATTGAATGGGAAGGTCGCTGATCACATAATACCATCACTCAAGAAGATAGATGGTTTCTTGAAAGAATGGAATCTTGATGTCAAGGATAGGAGAGAGCTCTATCTTGCCATCTCTAATGCGCTCAAAGACAGTAAAAGGTACAGTATTACTGTTTGATATCTGTCACTTAACCATCTGGAGAAGTGTGATGATTTAGTTCACTTCTGGCCATGCTTCATCCTTTGTTGCAGCTCAACTAAGGATGGCTTCAAATTCCTGACAAATTATTTGACAACTTTCTCCGGTGAGGATGCACTTGTGATTGCTGAAGCCAAGGAGGAAGCCGTCCGTGCCATTATTGAATTTGTGAAGGCACCTGACATGTTTCAGGTAGATTGGGATGGTCATGCTGTTTAATGGGTTGACTATTTGTATGTTTCTCTGAATCACTTGAGTTTAGAGAATAATTTCTGGTGTGATTTAATGTCGATAATGCTTGTGATTTAATGTCGATAATGCTTCTTCATGGGTGGTTGCAGTGTGAGCTGTTAGATATGCCAGCTGTTGTGCAGTTGGAAAGTGATGCCACATATGCATTGGTATATCAACTATTGAAGATATTTTTGACTCAGAGGCTTGATTCCTATTTGGAGTTCCAAGCTGCGAATTCTAGCTTGCTAGAAACCTACAGTAAGATTTTGACTTCACTCCAGTCAAACAAATTGAACCCATACTTCGATATTTGGGAAGTAAACTCGGCTCTAACTTCTGCTTCTTTGTGTGCTCAGACCTTGTTCACGAGGATTGTATAGCAAAGATGAAGTTGATGTCATTAGTGGATCTTGCCTCTACCCCGTCTAGGAAAATCCCATATGCTCTTATCAAGGATACACTTCAGGTATATCTGAATTAACCTATGACATTGTCCTCGACCAAGTTTTATGCTTGACCTATTTTTCTAATTATTCTGCTTCATGTCATTCTAGGTTACTGATGATGAGGTAGAATTATGGGTAGTAAAGGCGATAACTGCCAAGTTGATTGACTGTAAAATGGATCAGATGAACCAAGTGGTGCTCGTGAGGTATCTATCTTTAATTTTTATGTTATATGCACAGTTTCACTATTGCCTGTTAGTCTTCAACTCTTTCTGTACATATGCAGCCGCTGCAGTGAGCGCGTCTTTGGGCAGCACCAGTGGCAAGAACTTAGGGAGAAGCTTGCAACTTGGAGGGTAATAGTCCCCCTTCACGTATCAAAAAATGCTTTTGTCTTACATTTCCTAGTCTTTCTTCTTGAAGTTTTGCTAGTCGTCACTCTGTCAAGTGCTAGTGGCTTATCAAATTACATGTGCAATTTTTGCAGGAAAATATTGCGAGTGTGATAAATACCATCCAAGCTAACAAGATAGTTGAAGATGGAGTGCAACAGGCAGCGCAAGGCGTGGCAATTCGGTAGAAAACTTGGGGTTTTGAGATGTTGGATCTTGTTTTATTTAGACATGGTTAGTAAGGGGAGCTTAAGATTTTCAATTCGGCCATCATACTGAAAGTGTTGGAGCAAATTTTTGATGCTGTAGTCGTTGCTGTTCTGTTTGAGAAATAACAATTTCAGGACTTAGTTGGATCAGTTGTATTGTATGTATCACCTGTCGATCATTTAACGTCTCTACTCTCTATTGATCCCTTATGTTCGTCGCCGGCCATATGATTCCCAACACAAATCCTCTTATAGTGACATATTGAGAACAATTTGTAGTATAGCAGAAGTGACATGTACTCATACTTGGAATGTGAGTCAGCTCATCTCACTGATTGGTGATATTGGAACGAACGTCATAATCACCGGTTTAATAGTTCAATTTCGTTAACCATAGCCTAGAAAGAAAGCAAGCTGCAAACCTGCTTAGATAAGAGGGAGACTCTCTCGGAGCCAGTGGAGGAAATTGATTTGGTTGTCCAATCCAAGTGCTGCTTCTTCCCCATCTCCCCCGCCGGACAGCACAAAGCTCAGTGGCCGCCGACCAACAAAATTCTTCTCTATCCCGCCACCCAAGTGGTTTTGCGCCGGGAATCCCCTGCTCTCTTCTTTGTGTGTGGAGAAAATGGGCCGCTGATGTTGGTCAATGCCAAGTGTGCCAATATAGTTATTACGGAACAGTGCTATAGTTTGATAATTATAGGGCCACGTTTGGTACAAAAGTTTGTAAAAAACTAAAACTTTATAAGAGAAGGAAGAGAGGACAAAAGGAAAACTGGAATGAAGGAAGGAGGGAAAGGTAGATGAAAATGACGGAAGCTTGGATTCGAGCAGTCGTTGAAGCCATCCACTCCACCCCTTCTCAGGCCGTAATTTATCTCTCCGGCGGCGCGTCTCAGGTCTCTTCTCTCCTTACTAAAACTTATCGCTTTCTCTCTCTCTTCATGTCTGGTTAAATTTTGACTTCGGATGATGATGACGATCAGAGTCTCGGGTTGTTGATGTCCGTCCCCGGCGCTACCTCTACAGTTCTTGAAGCTCTGGTGCCATACTCGAGAGTCTCCATGGTTGATTTGCTCGGAAAGGTTTTTCTTTTACTCCGGAGCACACTATCTATGAGGTCTTTTTCCTTCCTTTTATTCTGGGTTCCAGATTTCTAAAGCCAAAACCATGTCATGTTTCTCTTCTTTCAGATTCCTGCAAGTTACTGTAGCCAGCAAACAGCCGAGGAGATGGCTTTGTTGGCTTACAACCGGGCTCTTAAGCTCTCTTCCCCTGGTAATGATTCTTCTTCACCAACATTGTTTACTATATTAAACTAAATGCTATGCTTCTGCTACAATACCAGATCAGAAAGGTTGTTTACATATCTGGACTCTGGAGTAGGGAGGTGTTTTTTTATGTTAACCCAATTATTCCTTTCGATAGGTGCTCCTGTTGTTGGTGTGGGCTTCACTGGATCTCTAGCAAGTTCACGTCCAAAACTTGGGGATCACAGGTATTATTTTCTGCAAGCATTGCTTGGATCTCTACTACATGTATCTGGTTTTGATGAATGCAGCTCGACGGCTTCTTTTCAGGTTTCATTTATCGACAAGAACATCTAACCAACTTTACGCATCAACAGTTACATTGTCAAAGGTAGTTGTAGTACTCTTCAGATAATGATGTGATTCGTCGTTGCATGATTAATGGATTCTGGTGTGCAATGTGGTTTTAATCTAGGGAGTACGAACTCGAGAGCAGGAAGATACAGTTTCAAGTCAATTCTTACTGAAGGTACACAAGAATTTGAAAACGTTGCAACACAGTTTAGATTTCCTAGGATATATGTCTCCATGTGGCTTACATTTGTCAGCAGTCCCTGATTCAACTTCTTTCCTGTCTCTTAACAATTAGGCCTTATCAAAAGCATGCAGAGTTGTCCAGCAAACAACCGGTTCTCCCTTATCTGAATCAGACTCATTGAATGAACTTGAAAAACAGTTCACAGAAGATGAAGAGCTACAGCAAGTTATAGACGGTCAAATATGCTTCAAGATATACCCATTCTCAGGTGGAATCCTTAGGTTCAACAGACTCATCGTGGTAATTTGAGCTTCCTAATTATTTTTCTGATGATCGTTTTCAGCTCCGCCAAATGCTGAGAGGAAGATCATACTTCCTGGTTCTTTTAACCCTTTGCATGATGGTCACCTCAAGCTTCTGGAGGTCGCTACTAGGTAGCTGGATATGCTTCCATAATGTATTAAAAAAATTGTATTTTGAACATCTTGAAGTGGCATTTATTAGTTCTTGGACGTTTATGTTCTGCCGATGCTTATTAGAGCAAATACCATGTCTTTCTACTTCTTAATACTTGTTTTGTGTAGCCTTTGTGGCAATGGCTATCCGTGCTTTGAAATATCAGCGATAAATGCAGACAAACCTCCCCTTACTGTTTCCCAAATCAAAGATCGGGTGAAGCAGTTTGAAAGAGTTGGTGAGCCATTTGAACTTTCTTTACACTATGATGATATGTCCCCTACTGAGTTTGCACAGAATCTGACGAGCCCTTTTTCATTTTGGTACTAAGATGACCTGTGTCTGAGTTGTAGTTTTTTTTACGACAGGCAAAACTGTAATCATTTCTAACCAGCCCTATTTTTATAAGAAGGCTGAGCTCTTCCCTGGCAGTGCTTTCGTCATTGGTGCCGATACAGCAGCAAGGTTGATAAACGTATGTTACTCGATTCCAGCTTGTTTTGGAGATTCTACTGCAATTTTCGCTTGATCTAATACTGCTAGGGTTTGTTAGGTTGTACAACACAGAAAGTCATCTGATAAAACTTTGATTGATCTACTCTCGGCCTTGCTCGGTGTCTTCTCTTTTGCAGCCCAAGTATTACGATGGAAGCTATGAAAAGATGCTTGAGATCCTTGGAGCATGCAAAGCAAGAGGATGCACTTTTCTTGTGGGTGGTCGAAGCACCGATGGTGTTTTCAAGGTACAGCGACTAACTAACTCGCAGCTTCTGCCAGAATTTGAGACCTCTCGCGGGCGATGAGTTAGACCAATTGATTTTGGTTGTTATCATATAAAGATTGTTTTCTTTGTTTACTACGAAGGTTCTCGAGGACTTGGAGATCCCGGAGGTGTTGAAGGACATGTTTGTGCCGATACCAGCTGAGATGTTCCGCATGGATATTTCGTCCACTGAAATAAGGAAGAGTCGAGGGATGATGTGAAGAACTTGATGCAGATGGAACTCAACATGTCTTCTGCAGTTTGCAGTAATAAAAGTTTTTTGTCCATGCCCTTCTGTTGTACAGGTAGTTTTCAAGTTTGGATTTCGGGTCCTCTAGTAAAAGTGCACACAGTGATGAGATGAGTTCAGATTTGTAAGCTATGCAGCTTTCACCCTTGCTACTGAGAATTCAAGCCCTCAAATGAGTATGGAGTTGTTTGATTAAGGAAATGGCTACTTGTTCCAGCAAAAGATTCACACGGCGATTCAGAAGAAGGGTCTTGTCAAATTGCTGGGGCTCGATTTTCAGATCAAGTATCGCCGGGGTAAGTTCAATGGTGCCGCGGATGCACTTTCTAGGCGGTTTGATGAGGATGATGAATTGGGTGATTGTTCGGCCCTCTCTACAGTCCTTCCCGAGTGGATGGTGGAGGTGGAGAAAACTTATGTTGGTGATCAATGGATAACAGACAAGATTGCTGAAGCTGTTCTTCCTTCCTCTGGCCCTTCTCTTTGGTTGTTCTCTCAGGGTGTACTAAGGTATAAGGGGGCTATTGTAGTTGGGTCGGTTGGTTTTATGAGGGATAAGCTGTTGAAGTTGTTCCACTCCTCGGCGGTGGGTGGACACGCGGGTGTGCAGGGCACTTATCAGAGGTTGAAGTCTCACTTTTATTGGGTGGGAATGAAGGCTGCAGTCCAGGCTTTTGTGCGTGCGTGTGATGTTTGTAGCAGATGCAAGACGGAGACAGTGGCTTCTCCTGGGCTTCTCCAGCCTTTGCCCATTCCGACTCAGGCTTGGCAGGATATAAGCATCGACTTTGTGGAGGGGTTGCCTAAATCTGCTGGCAAGGAGGTTTTGTTTGTGGTGGTCGATCGTTTCACAAAATATGCACACTTCTTTGCCATTTCCCATCCTTATTCGGCTGAATCGGTGGCACAGGTCTTCTTTGATGGCGTTTTTAAACTCCATGGGATGCCAAAGACGATTGTTTCTGATCGTGATTCCACGTTTACCAGCACTTTCTGGACGGAGTTTTTTCGTCTGCAGGCAGTCGATCTTCACTATTCGACGGCTTACCATCCGCAGACCGACGGCCAGACGGAGCGGGTCAATCGCTGCTTGGAGGATTTCCTCCGGTGTATGACGTTTCACCGGCCACAGGATTGGGCTGCTTGGGTTACCTTGGCGGAGTGGTGCTACAACACCCACTTTCAGGTCAGTCTTCGCCTCACTCCATTTGAAGCTTTGTACGGTTTTCCCCCGTCCTTTTTTGGCCTCTCGCCTTTGGACTCGACGGCGGTTGGTGCTGTGGAAGATCGTCTCGCTCGGCAACAGCAGCTGTTTCCTCTTCTTCGGCACAATCTCACGGTGGCTCAAAACAGGCAGAAGCAATATGCTGATCGTCGTCGCTCCGAACGATCTTTCCAGGTGGGCGATCGGGTTTATCTTCGGCTCCAGCCATATCGTCAAGGTTCGGTCGTTGGACGGCACGGCAGTAAACTGGGGCCACGATTCTTTGGTCCTTACCGCGTGCTGGCGAGAATCGGTGCTGTTGCTTACAAGTTACAGCTGCCGGCCGATGCTAAGGTCCACCCGGTGTTCCACGTCTCTCAGTTGAAGCGGTGTGGGTCTCAAACTGTTCCTGAGGTGTCTGCTCTTCCAGGTGTCGATGATCAGGGATCTCTGAAGCTCACTCCCGACGTTATTCTCGCTCGCCGTTTTGTGCAGCAGGGTGATCGAGCTGTTACACAGGTTTTGGTTCAGTGGTCTCATCAATCCCCAGCAGATGCTACTTGGGAGGATTACCATTCGTTTCGTGCTGCTTATCCTGCTTTTCCAGCTTGAGGACAAGCTGTGTCTTGAGGAGGGGAGATTTTGTAATGACCCTAGGTGACGAAGACAAGGTGGACGACAGCTGGCAAGGGTATAAGTAGATAAGAAGAACTGATTGTAGCTATCTTTGAGCATTTTCCAAATAATCAGTGAAGTTTAGTTAGACAATAGATACATTTCTCCTTTCCCCTGTAAAAACTCTGCTTCTCTTCTTCGCTGGAAATAAAACACCGATCCTCATTCCTTACACAGCTGAAGAAAATGACAGCATGTTGCAAAGTTCAGAAACTCAACCGAGTTCGGCGACAAAAAAGGGACATAGCTTAAATTGTAAAGATATGTGGCATTGAAATAGGTCTACCAACCATTCAACTTGCAGCTGACGATGTATTTGTACTTGAGCATGGTCATTGCTTCAAAGTTTTAGTTTTGCAACGGTCGACCTATGTTATAGTTCTGCATGTGTTCGCAATTTAAGCAACTTGCTATCTAGAACGTCTTTTTGTTCTTGAGTTGGATGAGCATATAAAATGTATATGTATGATTTAACCTAGGCTACCGTACATCTACTAAATCCAGCGTGAAATTATGGAAAATGTGCTTGAGATTATCGACAATGCACTTTCCTTGTTGATGGCTGAATCCCGGATTCGGTTTCTATTGCCATCCCGAGTGCGGATCTGGTGACTAAGGGGGGTGCTTAGTCACTTGACTAAGCCCCTCCCAGCCCTTAGATCTGGACACTTCAATCCAATGGTTAAAAAGTGGGAAGGGCTATTTAATTAATAATAGGGGTAGTTTGGGTATTATGGAAAATTACGAAGTATACAAACCGGATTTACAATCAATACAAACCATACAAACATACGAACAGTACAAACTAGAGCGACAAAACATACAAACAGATTTACAAACATTACAAACGTATGAACTGTACAAACAATACAAACTAGACCGACAAACAATACAAACCATACAAAAAGAAAAAACAACCGGGTTGACTTTTGAGGCTTCATCCCTATATAGAGGGGCTCCTTCCCAAAGTCAACCCGGGTGTTTTTTTAGACATACAAACAGTACGAACATGGTGGACAAAAATGACAAACTAGACCGACAATCCATACGAACGGGAAAAAACTCCCGGGTTGACTTTGGAGGCTCCATCCCTATATAGAGGGGCTCCTTCCCAAAGTCAACCCGGGTGTTTTTTAGACATAAAAAACATTACGAACATGGTGCACAAAAATGACAAAGTTTACAAACATGGTTAACAAAAATAACAAAGTTTACAAACATTAAAAAAAAACCGACAAACATTACAAAATAACAAAGCATACAAACATTACAAAATATGTCAACAAACATCACAAAATTAGCACTGTCGCCGGGAAATTCTTCTCCGGCGACGATATTCGCCGATCAGAAAATTTCCCGACCCTAAAAAAGCTCTCTCTCTCTCTCTCTCTCTCTCTCTCTCTCTCTCTCTCTCTCTCTCTCTCTCTCTCTCTCTCTCTCTCTCTCTCTCTCTCTCTCTCTCTCTCTCTCTCTCTCTCTCTCTCTCTCTCTCTCTCTCTCTCTCTCTCTCTCTCTCTCTCTCTCTCTCTCTCTCTCTCTCTCTCTCTCTCTCTCTCTCTGTGTGTGTGTGTGTGTGGAAATGGCACAATGGCCGAACACAAACTTTCTGGCCCCAAGGAAATAATGGCGCCCCCAGGAATTCCCCTGGCCGCGCAAGGCGACGCGACGGCCGGCCGGCCGGCGCTGGGAAAAAAAACGGGGCGGAAAGCAGGGAAAGTGAGCCGGAAAAAAATAATTTAATAATTAAAAATTAAAAATAAACATGCAATTACTACATTGCCCTTCATTAAATTGGATTAATAGGAGCCCTTAAATTTTAATGAGGTGCAAGGGTGGAGATTCACTTAGCCATGTGACTAAGGGGACCCCCCTTAGTCACCAGATCTTAGCCCTTGCCATCCCTAAACAAAACACCCTATACCAAACGCTCTACCATATGAGCGAACAGTTGACTGATTTTAATATGACATAATTTTACCAATTTTTTAGAAACTCTATCGTATCGATCGAACTAGAAATATTGGATACTAGATCCACACTAGGCGATTTTAATGGTATGAGACAGTTGAATTACGATTCAACCATAAATTTAATATAAATAATTTATCATTAATTTTTTTCATTACAACTTTCTATGCGTTCTCACATTATTAATTATTACAATCTAAGAGACTTGGTATCTCCGATTTTTTTGGTAAATTAAACAACTTGGGGGTCGTTTGGAAGTTGTGATTGTGTTTGGTGAAATTGTTACAATACATGTATTGTTTAGAATGCATCTTTTTTTAAATATTTTTTTAGGAAAAACAATACTTGAATTGTTTCTGTGATGTGATAGAAACTATCACTAAAAGCGAGTAATTGTTATATCTCAGCTTTTAACAATAATTGCTGAGATAATTTTATTAATATTATTGTCTTAATTTTAATCGATGTAACATACACATGACACAATCACACAAACTAAACACTTTATTTTACAACCCATCAAATTTCACTGCATAACTTCCAAACAACCCCTAGTTCTCTTTTTGTTACCCAATTTACCGTTTCATTATTTTGTCGTTTGTGCCAACCGTTCTTCACCAACTCTTTCCCCACTTTCTCCTATCGTTCTTTTGCTTAACTTTTCTAATCTTTTATTTTCCCGGGAACCCGCGAGTACAGCTGTTCCGATTGCCGCTTCCGAACAACCGCCGATATGAAAAACCGTGGCAGAGCAGAAGTCACTTTCGATTTCGGCTTCATCTCCCCGATAGGCTCAGAATCGAAAGCGCTATCACCGAATGTTGTCTGCTACTGACTTCGCAGTTCAGGCTGGGGGAGCAAACATGCATATGGATGGCAGGAAGGTTTGCCGGCGAACAAATTTGTTGCCGAGATTCTGCAGCTGGACCTGGATTTTGGGGGCTCTTTTAATCCCTACTGGTACTCTTCCCTGTCAATTCTTTGTTTAGGTTAATGGGTTCTCTCAAAGGTTGGTTGTGGCCTTGTGGTTGTCGGCGCCAGCCAGGCAGCCAGCCTTACAGGCCTTTCTGTCACTATCTGTCGGTATTGTCTGTATCCCAACCATGATTCTCCCCCTTTTCCCCCCATTATTTATTTACTCCGCCGCTCTATTCTTTACCAACTCTACTGTATTTTAAGCACTTGAAGACAGTCTCTGGAGATTGATTCAATCTAAGTTCAATGAGTGAAGGAATAACATTATCAAAGCAATCAAAACTGTTGCAAGCTGGAAGAAATTATATATACTTACCATTTCTCTGCTTGACTTCCCTTTTCCAGCCCACAGTTCCTTCCTTCCTTCCAGTGGCATAACAACAAGGCAGAATGAACGGAAGACCCCCACCACCACCTCACCCCACCCATTAAACAGATAAACCCCACACAGCACCGCACACCCATTTCGCTTTCTTTTTTTGTGTGGGTTGGTTTGATTGATTTATTTGCTTTTGTTTCACATTCATTGGCTTTCTTTCTTCTTTTCCCCTCAACTCAACTCAGCTGATAGCCTCTCTCCAGTCAAGTCTCTTCAGGCCTTTCTGATTTGCAAACTGCATTGCATTTTGGAAATGCGGCTGAATTGATTACTCAATTCTTCTGCTTCTGCTGTCGCCTTCTCAAGCTCTAAACTTACTTTCTCATTGAAGATCGATCGACCCATCCGTCATCCCATCAATTGCTCTGCTTGCTCACTTCCCAATTCAGGTTCCTTCCTTCCTCAATTCACCTACATCTCTTAAAGCTTGATTCTTTTGGTCCTTCTTCATGCTTGCTGACAAAGATAGAGATTGGATATGGCAATGCATCTGTATTGTAGCTTAACCTCACTCCTAGATACCATGTTTCCACTTAGCATTCCTTTTTCCAGCTCTAACTTCCAATTCTCCTCCTGCCTTGCCCTTTTGCTCTCTTATCTAATAATCCTTTTTGCTCTTCTTTTAATGCAGCTTCAATCAATGTTCGTTGCTGGTTAATTGATTTTGGTTTCAGTAGTGGGAAACTGGGTTCCCGTACCATATGTCAAAGACTCTTGCAATCACCCTAGGTGGTGTTGCAGGAGCCGTGGCATTGGTTGGGCTAATAACATTTTGCATATGGTGCTACTGCTGCAAAAACAAGAGTGTCTCCAGAACCTCCGAGACTGGATCTTCTGACCAATCTGTTCAAGGTATCTAATTTCCCCACCACCCCCCAAGTTTTTGCTGATGTGATTTTCTTTTTGCTTTACCCCTCTTTCTCTAATGTTCTTGTAATTTTTTATTGTTGGTCACCGTCTTCAGCGGGAAGACATGTTGGGGTTGAGCTGTCTGTACCAGAGGCAAAGAGGTTTGACATGGAAGAGTTGTCTCTGGCCACCAAGAATTTCAGCCACCAGAACTTGATTGGCGTTGGCAAATTTGGTGAGGTATACAAGGGTCTGCTCAACAATGGGATGCTTGTTGCTGTGAAGAGCCGATTTGGAGCTCCTACTCAAGAATTTGTGGATGAGGTACTGATTTGATCATTCTCATTTGCAGTGCAGCTACTTGGATTAGTCCAAATAGTGTGAACGTAGTTTCCTTTCTGATTGTGGGATGGGTATCTGCGGTGTGTCTTCTTAATTGTGTTTCCCAGTATACCATTTTAGACTAAGTAGTAATTTAACTTCTCCAATAAAGTGGAATCCATGGCATTGTTCTTTGCTTGATCCTATTATGCTGAATTAAATCTATCAGGCACGGTATCTTTCAGCCATCCAACATCGGAATATCGTGACTCTGTTTGGATATTGCCAAGAGAACAACATGCAGTTCCTCGTCTATGAATATGTACCTAATGGGAGCGTTTCCAGTCACTTGTATGGTAACTATCTATCCAGTCGCCAATATTCATGTCTTTGAGATCAATGTGGCAGCTGAGAAGCTAAATACATTCTGCAGTTAATGTGTTATTATAGCCTTTGTAAAATTGCGTTTCTCATGGAAAAGGTTGAAATTTTGATGCCAGGGCTAGGTCAAGTATCAGATGGGCAGCTGGAATTCAAGCATAGACTTGCAATAGCTATAGGGGCAGCTAAAGGTGATCCTCTGCAAAATCAGTGACAATTTTGGCTTTCCTGGTATTAGTTGCTCCTTTTTCAACTTTAAGATAATCTACATCTGGTTTAAGTACCTCAAAAGAGTATGAGCAAGCATTTTATTATTCATACTGCAAAGATTGTTTCTTGTAAGCCTGTTGAGCCTTTAGAGTGACGGATAGGTCCTTCACCTTTATACAATAAGTGTAAAAGGAGCTGGAGTAAGAGACCGCCTCATGTTATGATATTTCTTGCTGTCCAGGTCTTGCTTATCTTCATGCTCTGAGACCTCGATTAGTGCATAAGAACTTCAAGACTACAAATGTGCTGGTGGATGAGAATTTCATAGCCAAGGTAGCAGATGCAGGGCTTCGTAATTTCCTGGGAAGAGGAGGTGAGGGTGGAGCGGGCCCTTCAACACAAGTGGCAGTTGACGAGATATATCTTGCTCCAGAG